GTTTGACTTAGAATAGGATGCACACGTGTGATTAACACAACAAGACTGTGTGTAGGCCAGAGTTCGCCTATTCTTCTCATAACATTTAATAACCATGACAACCCTAGCCACATGTAAGCAACCGCCTTTTTTAAAACAGGTAAAAGCTAAAAATAAATAAATAAATAAAAATCATAAGGTAAAATACATTACTGTTGTATTTTATGTCGTAGAATAAAAGAAGGAAATATCTTGAACTTATCCACAGACCTTATTTCGGGGATTTAACCAAAACCCCATTTTAAAAACCTATTGAGGACGATGGAACCAGAAGTGCAGAAGTTATGTCATAACTATTGTCCAATGAATTGGGCGGCTAACCATGTCGGTTACCACATCAGGAAATGGGCCAATATTTTATCAGTAGACCCAGCTGTCCAACAACTACATGATGTGCAATGCTGTCTTGTTGAACATTTGACCTTTTTAAAAAGTAATAAATTCAGCATAAATCATTCATTGGTCATTCCTGACACAGTACATTTCTGACACCTCTTAATATGCTAGATAAAATACTAAACAACATTTTAAAGATGAAGATCATGAGTTACGTTTTAGTTATAACAATATCCCATTTAAAGTTAGTTCACCAAAAAATGAAAATTAAGTCATTAATTACATGCTGTACAAGTAAGATCGTCTTGAACACAAATGAAGTATTTTTGATTAAATTTGCTGTATAACTACCACATTTGTCCTGGACTGCCTCTTGACGCCCAAAAGTCAATGAAGAAAATGTTAAATATCCAAGTGACTACCGTGGCTCAACTATATGTTTATTCAAGCGACGCGAATACTTTTGTGCCAAACAAAAAACACGATATCAGAACGAGACTTCCTTATAATCTTCATTGTGTTTCGACACGAACGAAGTCTTACGGGGTAAGCATAATTAATGACTTAATTTCATTTGTGAACTAACCCTTTAAGTGAACATGGCAGTAGATTTTAAACAATTTCTTTGATTTGAGTGGATGTTGGGAATATTGTTCCAACTGTCTTTCCAGTGTCCTCAACGATATCAAAACAATAACACAATATCACTCTATAAACTTTATGGGCATTAAAATGTGAAAGCAATCCAAAATGCTTGACACTATTTGGACACAAGAATGAACCAGGGCCATGCGTTCATGTAACGTGAGGGTGGTCTAATCTAATTCTAACGCTATGTTCTGCGAATTTTCACTGCAAAATCTATAACAGTAGGAAACCAGGCATTTGGAAATTTTGCGTTTGCAATGTCCCAACACGGATTTCACAGGTTCAGTTCGGTCACATGAATTTGCTGACCAACATAAAGCTGTTTGATTTGAAACTGCACAGCATGTAAAGTTCCAATTGTATGAAGCACAACAACACTATTTAATGAGGGCAACCAATTTTTTTAGTTTATGATTAGTTATCTTATGCAAGACAACTAGGACTAGTCGTTACATCTGGGCACTACATTGTTTCCCATTGAATCCTTTGGCATTGCGTTTTGTGTTTTGCACTGTAAAAGCAAATTTCATTTTTTTCTCTTAAAACTATATGATTTAGTTATTATTTATTACTGTTAATATACATTTTGTGGAGTCTTTCAAATTTTCCACAGACCCATAGCATACCCCTAGGACACAATATCGAAATCCCGTGGTCTTTACTAGTTGTACCAGAGTACTGGCTGATGCAATAGAATATCTAAAATTTTGTGGAACTCGCCTGAATTAAAATCGAGGAACTCGCCCCTGAAGGCATTTTCAATGATCCAGAGTTCTTTGAAGAAAGGAGCTGCTTAGGGAGGATGATGTTTTCACGGATTCATTCGTCCCGATGGAATATAGAAATGCTGCTCTAGTTATAGAAACAGCTCACTTACTTTCTAAATTTTTTTATCTCTCTGCCATTTTCAGGGTCTCCTTTTCTGCCTGTAGCTTTAGAACATCAGGGATGTCCAATCATTTCTCTAGTCCAGCATGTTAACATTTTGTTTGCTCTTTGAATAGTCTAAAGCAATCTGGAAACATAACTAATCCCCAATGTAGAAAGAATATCAGACGAAAATCATTCAAGTTTCCCAAAGTCAAAGAATATATATATATATATATATATATATATATATTTTTTTTCTGCCTTCAAAGAGTGCACTTATTTACTGCTTGCTCATGTATGCTTAATTTGGATTCACAGTGGGGTCATGATGTGCTGCTACTTTGAAGAGCTGGACTCGTTTATCAAATCTAGCGCATTTTACAAGACCAATGCTTGTTACCCAGTACACATAAAGAATCTTTTTTTTATTTATTTATTTTTTTTTTTATTATTATTGATTTTGATGCACATAATCACACATCAATTACTAGATCCGCTGTCAACTGTAGTTATCTGTATATATATTTTGCATTCCATTCATTGCTGTTGTTCTCAGATCACAGGTGGACTCAATTTGCCTCAATAAATAATTATTTTTGACAAAAATATGTCATGTTGTATATAATTTTTTTTATTGTTATTTATTGACCTACTCCTTTGTCAGTTTACATGAAAATCAATGCCTTGTTGCCCACTGTGTTGACAGATTTAGCTGACCATTGTACATTGTATAGGTCACATTAATTTCTGCAGAGGTTTTTTTCTTTTCTTTTTTTTTTATAAGGACTAAATACATTTCACCAAATACAATTCAAGTCAAGAGCAGAAACAAAAGTATGTCATATCCAATGAATTGGGTGGCTAACCATGTCGGTTACCACATCAGGAAATGGGCCAATATTTTATCAGTATACCCAGCTGTCCAACTACAGTACATGATGTGCAATGCTGTCTTGCTGAACCATTTGACCTTTTTAAAAGTAATATTCAACATAAATCATTAATTGGACATTCATGCTACACAGTACATTTCTGACACCTCTTAATATGCTCGATAAAATACTAAAGAACATTTTTAAAGATGAAGATCATGAGTTACCTTTTCGTTATAACAATATCCCAATTAAGTTAACATGGCAGTAGATTTTAAATAATGTCTTTGATTTGAGTGGATTTTGGGAATATTGTTTCAATTGTCTTTCCAGTGTCCTCAGAATACTCAGGAGAAACACACAACAACACAAATATAGATATCAACTAATACAATAACCAACAGAAAACTGAACAACATGCTATATGTGTGTACACAGTGAAGTAAACTAGACACAGGTGGGACTAATCAGTAGGCAATACAACTAACAGGGAGGAATCAGTAACTAAGGAGACAGGATCTAAATGGAAAGGAAACAGTGTATCCACGGTTACTTTGAAAAAGTAATCTGATTACTGATTACTATTTACTTTACAGGTTACTTGATTTTAAAAGTAACTTAAGTTAGATTACAAGTTACTTTATTAGTAATCCACAGCTGCAAACACCCTTGCCCTCGACATAAAAATGACACCAACTCTCACTTTATTGGAAGTGTATTTTTGTATCTCCTGACATTTGAACTTAAAAACTATTTCCTGATAAAAAAAAAAAATAAACGCAGTCTTACTTGACTAATTTAACATAAATACTTGTTTTTTCTTAAATAGAAAATTTGACCTGACTCCAAATGTTTCTTCAAATTTGACGCAGTGTTTTTGTTGCTAGATAGCACTTTGTCGCCACCAGCACAGAGTATACAACAACCTTAATATTGACATCTTTAGCTGACAAAAAAACTCAAAATAGTGACGGGGGTGATGCGGTGGTGAGCATTTTGAACATGCTTCAATATCTGACGCTTTAGGCGCCCTTTAGCGTCAGTTAGATGACGCCCTAGGATCGCGTGTAACCCTACCCCCACCCCAGACCTAAACCTAACCGCGTCTGACGCTTTTCCTTTAGCGTCAGTTAGATGACGCCGTAGGATCGCGTCATGTAACTGACGCTAAAGGGCGCCTAAAACGTCAAATATTGAAGCATGGTCAAAGGTGACGCCTTGGGATGAGAATGCGTTGCATGTGAGGGTGGTGATTACATAAGCTGAGAGCAGTACGGAAACGTTTTCTTCTTTGAGTTTTCCAAACCCTCTCAACTAATATTTTGATTAAAAACACGCCTATGTCAAAGAAACAGTAGGCTATCTATAAACTTTTTTATTAAGTTACTCACTAAATAGAATTGGATCACCTTTAAAATTGGACTACTTTTTTTCTCGTTGACATCAGAAAAAAAAAATTCAAAGAACAGGCTACTTTAATTCAGTAAGAATGCATTAAATTGATGACTGTAAAGTCTTAAATTATTACATCAGCATATTATAATGTGACACTGGAGACTGGAGTAACGGCTGCTGGAAATTCAGCTCTGCCATCACAGGAATAAATTACATTTAATTATATAATAAAACATAAATCAGTTTGTGATAGGCTAATATTTCTTATAAATGTTTTTCTGTAATTTTATGTGTGTGCATAAGAGTCTTATTAAAAATAAATGGAAAAATCTTACCGAATCAACCCGGTCTCATCCCAAGACGTCATATAACTGACGTTTTGGGACGTCTTTTGACCATACGTCAATATTCGCCTTTTTAGGGCCCCCTTAAACGTCGGTAGATGAGGTTATGGGATCCTAACTCTACCCCATACCTAAACTTAACCCTAAACCTAACCCGTCACCTAACTGACGTTAAAGGTAAAGCGTCAGTTGTATGACGGCCCGGGATCGCCATCTACCGACGTTTAAGGGGGCCCTTAAAAGGCGGATATTGACGTATGGTCAAAAAACGTCCCAAGACGTCAGTTATATGACTTTTTGGGATGAGACTGTGTTAACCGAATACAAACCTTTGAACAGTATATGTTTTAATGCATTTATGAGTTTGACTGTGCATGTTGGAATTTGTAAAAAGTAATTTTAGTGAGAACAAATTAGTTACTCATTTGAAACCTTTGCAGTTTGACTTATATCTCAAAGTCTTATGAGGAAGGTAGGCCACAGTGAAAATGCTGGTCATCATATGTCAGGTAATTCAATACGGACTTTACGAAATGTGTGGGTTTATGAATCTTTCATCTGATCAGTTTTGAGCAATCTACCACAAACAGTGAAGATGAATCCCCTTTTCACATATAAGGATTTGCTCTAATGCAATAAACCTCATCTGACATTCTGTCTAATCTTAGGTAAGAAATCCATATTGGGCTCTCTGAAATTGTTTTATACTATTTCATTATTATTAAAAATTACATGATTTAACTTGTGCTGTTGTTTATAAAGCATGTTAACACGTTCATTTTACCCCATTTTCAGTGGCTGATAATTTTATTTTTCGCAGTGTTTATTTGTGTTACCTTATTTTTCCATTGTGCAGGGATTTATTCACCATTACAACATGGAGTCAGCTGGATTCCTCCTGTTGTGCTTTTCACTAAGCATACTCATCTATGAATCGAGTAAGTATTAGTGAGCCATAAATTCAGCATATATAGCACAATGAAACATTTATCTCTCGAAGCAAAAAAAGAAACATTTTTTATGGTGAATTTGTAAAGAAGGAACTGATGGTAAATGACTGTATCTAAAGATGAGACATGTTGACTGTTAAATCATGTTTTAATGGGATAATTAACAACATTTGAACATTATTAACTAATTGAAAATGTTCTATCACTCATTTGTCTGTAAATTCCAGAATATTGTTTCCTACAGGTAACACCCATACATACAGCTAAAATCCCGGAGGTGATAAAAGTCACTGCAAAAAGTTGCTGAGAACTTCTGAATAAACATGGGAAGAAAAAAGGTATGCATGATCACTTTCAGCACAACACACTCATTTCAGCACAATATTATAACACTCTGACTATATTCCCCAGATGGTTTGTACTACTTGCTCTCTAAAAACAATGGGATTTACCAAACGTACTGTGACATGACCACCAATGGGGGAGGCTGGACACTGGTGGCCAGTGTACATGAGAACAACATATACGGGCAATGCACTGTAGGTGATCGCTGGACAAGCCAACAAGGCAATGATGTAAATTATCCTGCGGGAGATGATACATGGGCTAATAAAGTCATATTTGGGACTCCAGAAGCTGCCACCAAGGATGACTACAAGGTACAGGCAGCTAGTCTAAATAAAATAGCAGAAAATGTATTGTGCATATATATTACACAAGTCAGCATTATACATACACTTATTGCCTATTACAGAATCCTGGCTATTTTGACATCCGTGCAAAAGATATTGCCGTGTGGCATGTTACCAATGATCATGACCTGGAGTTGTGGAGAGTTGCTTCTGTTTTACGCTACCACACTAAGAACCAATTTCTGACACTGTTTGGAGGGAATCTTTACAACTTCTTTAAGGTACAAATTTACTTTTCATCTTTTACGAGATCTAGCTCAGTATTTCTGAGATTTAAACAAAAAAAAATAATGGCGGTCTAAGTGTAATTAAAAGAAATATTTGCAGTAAATTGTCTTTTCCCCCCCATAGAAACACCCTTTAAAATATGGCTCAGGGGCATGCAGTACTGATAGAGGAATTTCGGTTCCTATTGTTTATGATGTTGGTGACGAGATGAGGACTAAAGAATTGTATGGAGAATATGTTAGAGGTAAATCTTACATTTACTCATGAACAGTATAAATATTGATAATCCTCTTGCAGATGAAACTTCCAGAACAGAAAGCTTGAGATTAGGGGTTCTCAATTTTTGTCTTTTGAATCAGTACAGCCAGTACAGATTAAAATTTGAAAAATTTATTTTGAAATGTGAAATTTGAAAGTCTTTAGTATCCTTATGAATGCAGCAATACAACAAGCAATTTACAAATTCATGTGTTGGTGAAAGTTATACTTTTAAAAGTAATGCATAAAAATTAAGAAGTCTGCATGTGGTAATCTTTCACCCTCATGCGAAATTATCAATGCTGTGAATTCCTATCGAAATTACAGAATTTTTGTGAAAATACTTGATGGCAAATGTAACTGCACCTTCCCAGCAAACAAAAATGCATTCTACAAACATTTTGCTATAACGTTCCCATTAAGTTTCTGAATGTCTATGTTTTTTTGTTTGTTTTTTTTTTGTTTTTTTGGTTGTGCGAACATTAAGGGAACATTTTAGCATTGATGGGAATGTTTTTTAAAAAATAAATAAAAAAAAAAAAGATGAAAATTGAAAAACATTAGATGTCCAAGTAAATTCCATTCAATTCCATTAACATTCCATTAACAACTTGTAAGTACAATTTTTTTTTGTGCTAACATTTTGAAAACATTATTAGAGATAACTCAAGGTTATTTTATTAATGTTACTGAAAGAATATTTGTTCATAACTGAGAGAGCCTTGCCAGAACTAGACAAAGTTCTGAGAACATTCCCTTTTACCTAAAGCCAGACAGTAAGGTTGGGGTGGACCTTCATGCATGCTTTTTATCTAAAAATTGTAAATCACATCATATTTACACAAATATTGTTGAACTAAGGCAAGCACTCGCATCTGCATTCACACTTGCATAAAGTAGGCTATTTATTTCTAACCTCTTTAATGAAAGTTTATTAGAATGAGTTAGAAGTAGAGAGTAACAAATTACAGCTTGAATTGAAAATGTGAGTTTTGTGTTTTAGACTCCAGAATGATTCAGTGATTTTCTTACAGCGGATTTTGACCCTGGATATGTAACATTCAGAGTTTTCAACGATTACAAGGAGGCCTATGCAATGTGTTCTGGGGTCAGGCCGAAAGAATGCTATGCGCAATATGTGAGTATTCCAAATGACAGAAATGTTGACCTAATGTTTATACAATTGAGCCTGGATTCTCTTTACACTTTTATCAGTTTTGTCCCATTTGTGACATGTCTATTCCTTAGTGTATTGTCATTTATATCTGTACATTTATTTGTTTTGCAGTATTGCATTGGTGGTGGTGGTTACTTTCCAAACACTTATTGCAGCGATTTCGCCTATCAGGGTGCAAATAACGGTGCAACAAATGGATATGGTGCATCTAAAGAGCTCAAGCATCTGTGCTTATTTTCTACCACTAAAATACAAGACATCACAATGTAACTTCCAGTAACTGTTTCTTCTTGCACTTAAGCAAAGTTCCTTACACACACACACACACACACACACACACACACACACACACACACACACACACACACACACACACACACACACACACACACACACACACACACACACACACACACACACACTTTTGTATTATTAAGATCAGACACAAAATGAAAAAAAAAGTGATTTGCTACAATATTTAGTCATCTTGACATCCCAAAGTCACTGTAACACGTTGTCATTGCATTATTGCATAGCTTATTGCTAATAACAATAATAACAATAAAGTTTTTCAAGAAAATTCATACGATTTTTGGCATGTTTTGGCTTTTTAAAAATGTAATGTTCACGTACTGATAAATCATTAGATTAATAAGGGATTGTTAAATTTAATTTATAATGTTTACATTGTTTATATTTATATTAGCCTATCTTGCTTATGATAGCACTAAAGCTGCATGAACACATGATCAATTTCACAAATGTGCATTGGCAATTTTGATTGATTTGTGACCTAGAAATAGTAAAGAAACATTTCTTATATGTAGATTTATCAAAATCCCAAATCCTTCCTGAAATCGTTTCTGTTTATTTCAAGTTTAAATTAGATTTTTTATATGATCTCAGAATATGAGTGTACAAGTAGCCTATACGGCTGCCCATTGCCAAATCTTTCCAATCATCATAGGTGAATATATAGGCTAATGTAAAAATGTATCCAGAGAGCCACATACCTGTATGTGGGCCATTCCACTGAATGGGTGACATTTGCTTGTTGTAACTCTTCAAAAATAAATTTTATTTTTTAACTTTTTCTACATTGAATCTAATACTACACATACTTAACTATTCAAAATGTGTGAATTGCAAAATGTTGGTCAATCTCAGGGAACTTTATATATATATATATATATATATATATATACATATATATATATATTAATTTATTGTATAAATTATGGGCCAAACAAAACTGATAAAAATGGTTTAATTTTATTTTTTTTTTAGAAAAAGAAAAAAATAGTAACAGGACTGAACAGGATTGAGTTTTTTAAGCAAAAAGTTATCAAATCGATATATGGCTGAGTGAAAAACCCGGGGACATGACTAAAATGTGTATTTTGTCTAAAATATTAGATCAAATGTTTTTTTCTTTTTTTCATTTTAAAGCAGTTTGGATATAAAGTCACACAACAATGCAAGATCTGATTTCTGAAGGATTTTAATAATAATATTTCATTGTAAATGTAGAGATAGAGAGTTGGGACATGCAGAAAATGCTATTTTTTAGTGTTCCGTGTCGTTTTTATTAATGTTTGTAATTCTACGTTTTAAATTTGTAGTTAGCTTAACGTGCATGACATTTTGCCTAATAATGAAATGTATTTTAGAGTTAATTTTCATGCAATTTTATCATAGGAATTTTATACATGTACTGGGGACAAAAATGTCCCCCTTTCGGTCGAATGGCTCATATAAGGAATGACGGCTTGTCCGTGTCTCTAAACGTAATGAGCTGTCTACTTAGACAGCATGGGCGTCGTGCGTTTAAAGTTTCACATTTAATTATGAGTATAATTAAAGTGTTCAAAAATGTGTTCAAAAGTTAGTTCAGATTTTATAGTCATCGACATACTCCCCCCAGAATGCCTCGGAATTCAGAAATGGTGCTGTAGGTAAGTAGAAAGAGATCGCTAGCTTTTGAAACACATATCAAGCGAGTAACGCTAGTCGATGTACTTTGAACCTTCTCTCTTCCACTACTTGCGCTGCTAGAAAGGAGGGATCGGAAGTATGTTGTAATGAAACAGGGGGAAATCTTTACATCAAGAAAGGATCGAAAAGAGGAGGCAGTGAAATGTGATGTTATGGCATCGGAAGCGAGATACAGATGGATTGTTTGTGCTGTGATTGTTCTTTTAATAGCTCTATGTGCAGCCCATATGACAGATCGACCTGCCCGTGAGTGTCATGCCTTAAAACCAACCTTTCTGTAACGTTATGTGTTCGATGATGTTAAATATAAAACACATTTCCTGATGTTTTGGTTCCCTTTTGTTTTTATAATTCTAGTCATCTTAGCAAGCTAACCAGCTAGCACCACTGTATTAGGTTAGCTGTTTTTAGCCAATGCTAATTGACCTTTAAATAATAATAATAATAATAATAATAATAATAATTTAACTTCTTATTGTGATTCACCTCAATGTATTTTGTATTTTGCACTCATAACTATTTGCAAGGCAACCAAATTATTCTTATTTATTTTATTCTTTAACTTGCATTTGCATATGTTTAATATGACGCTACTATGTGACCACAGCAAAAACATTTAGGGATGCAATGGATTCAAATTTCCCTCGTTTGATAGATCGTGGCAGCTTTATGATGTTTCTTGTGAGGCAGATTAGTGCAGGCATGTGACTGGAGGAGGGACAGAGTAACTATTGTAATACTGCAGTATCACCAAAGCAGCTGACCATTTAGTTTCATTAGGAGACCTACAGTTAGGTTGAATTGAATAAGAGGCTACTACTGAAGTCTACAGAGTGGTGAGTGTATTTAGAAATTGTTGCTAGAAGAGAATCTGTTTTTTTGTAAGAAATTCTAGTCTAAATGCTTATCTGCACAGCATTTTTGTGCGTTGAAGGTGTGATTCCTACATAAGCTACCTATTTAGAGAGTGTTTAACTGCAATCTCTGACTTATATAACTTATATATTTGTGTTGCAAATGTGTCATAGTCGGTGATGATCAAGTGGCTTTGCTTTCAGTTTCTCACCCTCACCGCAAGACTTCTGTCCTGAAGATGGATGAGGCCGCCCTTTCGGTGGTCAATGAGATCGAGAATGAAATGATGTTATATGTGCTTTCTGATCACTGCTATCAGGTATCAAATATTCATGTTCTAGGTATATAATGCATGCAGAATTTACCATTTGCAATTTACAATTTATCAGAGGCATGCGATAATCGCTCATCTTGAGCTGCATGGTGTTAAAGTCACCATGAAATCAATTTCACTTGCATATACAGTAAGGCCAAAAGTGATGTCTGGAGGGGATTAGTTTGGGGATTTGTTTTTAATGACTGTACAAGTAGGATTAAACCATCAAACTATGTTTTTAAAGGGGTCATGACAGTTTTTTAAAATAATTTTTAATGTTATCATATATATATATATATATATATATACACACAGTGTATATATATATATATATATATATATATATATATATATATACACATATATATGGTATATATTAAAATGTAAATAACATTTTTTGCACAACAATAAATATATGTGGAAATATAATAATATATTTTCAATCCTCATTCTCTGTCTAAAATAACTAGTTTTTAATGGGCAGCTCGTTTAAGTTTTGGAGCCACTGTTATGATTGTAGCCTGGATGCCAGCCCGAACTCCGCCCACAACATTTTTTTAATATATTCTCTTGAATATGAGTATGACGAAGTCAGGCTATTATGATTGGCTAACGTAAAGGAAACAGCATCAATGGCCACTCGCTATTGCACATGAATAAGTATAAATATCATTATGATATCATTATCAATTGTTTACATGCAATTTGCGATATAGCTGAATAACATAGTTTAGGCTATGTTTACACGGAAACGATTCTGGCGTTGCGTTATCACTTTTTATCCTGCATTTAGACAGGCATTTTGGGTGGGAAATCCGCGTGCATATGATGACGCAAAAGAGTGTAAAATTCAATGTAGTATGCACTCTAGGCGGCTAGGTGGCAATGTGAAGCACTGCCACACAACAACACCAAGTCCGCGCGCCTGCATACGACCTTCACTGTCAAGCAGACTTTTGCGTTTTTACCCCTTACACGGGAACGCGGCAGTGGAGTGTTTTTAAGATTTCCACTCTGGAGGGTGGTTTCACTTTTTTACGTTTTTAAGCCCCAAAAACGCCGTCGGCGTGTAAACGAAAGGCACATCCGATAAAATATTTTTATGTTTTCAGTTTTCACCCGCGAGCGTTCTCGTGTAAACAGGGCCTTAACATGAAAAAAAAAACGTATCCCTTTAATGGGTTCTATTTGCCTTTGACACGATGCTTGCATGTGGTGTAGGCAGGTGTCAGCTATTTAGTGACTGAACGCCAGTGGGCAGGGCCTATTGTTCGACGATGTAAAAAATATTTGTCGATGTCTTGCTTTGGAGGCAGGCATATGCAAATGTATTTGCCCATGTGACGTCACAAATCCCAAAATATCCAAACTGTATTTGGAGCTTGATTAATGCCCTATTTACACGAGAGCGCTTACGGGTGAAAACGTAAAAATATTTTATCGGATGTGCCTTTCGTTTACACGCCGTTTTTTTGGGGGGCTTAAAAACGCAAAAAAAGTGAAACCACTCTCAAAAGTGGAAATCTTAAAAACGCTCCACTGCCGCGTTTCCGTGTAAAGGGTAAAAACGCAAAAGACTGCTTGACAGTGAAGGTTGTACGCAGGCGCGTGCACTTGATGTTGTTGTGTGGCAGTGCTCCACATTGCCACCTAGCCACCTGGAGTGCATACTACAGTACATTGAATTTCAAACACTTTTGCGTCACCATATGCATGCAGTTTTCCCACCCAAAACGCCCATCTAAACGTAGAATAAAAAGTGATAACGCAATGCCACTTTTGCGTTTTTTCTTCAGAATTGTTTCCATGTAAACAGCCTCAATACATGCTTTGTTTATAATGTGAAGGACATTGTAAGCTCTGAAAGTTGCAGGAATTTAATGGTAAAGACCTTTTATCAAAAGATCAAGTTAAGTTACATTTTTCATGTCATGACTTCATCTCATTTCTCATGTCTTTAAATATTTTAAATATGACGGAAGAACAAAATGCTAAACTTGGTAAACGGGTTAAACTACAGCTACAGGTTTTATTTTCTATGCCAAAAATTAATGAAAAAAGGCATACACTGACTTATTAATATTTCATGGTTCGCTCTTGTTTTTGCATATATATATATATATATATATATATATATATATATATATATATATATATTGTATAACAGCCTGGCCAAAAATTATGTCTTTGCAACTGCCATTTTTCATGCTGATTTTAAAACAGAATGCTGTGAGTAATTATATGGTAATAACATGGTTGAATGTACCAGTATAATGCTGCTTAATGCTATAGTATTGTTCCAACTGGACCTCTTTATCCCTGTGTTGTCTGTGCATGCATGTGCATTAGTGTTTGCCCCAGCCGTTGGGAATATTACCTGCAAGGCCAGTTTCTGGGACCCCCACTACAGTAGGGTTTGTTGTAAGCACACAACACGCTTTGACACTGCAGGTCAACAGCACCTCTGCAAACCTGGAGCAATGCAAGTGAGTTATGCATAGATACATTTAACACAGAGCAATGCCAGTTTCTGACCAACTTTATAATACCAAATACATCCTCACCATGTTTATTTCTTTTGGGCAGTATTGTCAATGCTAGGTATTATTGTCAGACTATTGATTTGTTCTTCCAGTGTTCACTTCCACTTTGGGGAGCAGGGGAACTATTCTCTTTGGGTGAAGAACTTGAATGAGGCGTCGCAGGTCAGCTGCACTATGATTACTGATTCAGAGCCCATCAACAGCTACTTGCGTGAGTCAACCTTGATGACAACATCTGACTGATTTAATGTCAGTCAGTTTACACTTGTAAATGAGACATGCTAAATGTAAATTAAGTGTTATTTCACACATTATTTACAAAACCTATAGAGATATCAGAAGATGAAATGGCCTGGGCCTATAAATTCTCACGAAAGAGAATTTGTTTTTAATTCTGGGAAAAAATATAGCAATAAAACAGGTAAAATATTGGGCTGAATGAATGAGTAGTTTTATTGTTTGTTTGTTATTTTTTCCAGCCATTTTGTTCGCTTTTCTGGTATTTGCTTTTCTGGCTGTATTATCTGCTATCTGGAACACAGTTAAAAGGTAAAGACATCAAGATATTTTAACCAGATGACATTTGAAAAAGCCAGAACAGCTTGTCGCAGCTTTTATAAATGCTTGTAAAATAGAGTTCTTCCATTTTTAAGGCTGGATGTGGTGACAAATCTACTTATTCGTTTGGGAAGCACAGTGGAGACCGAGAGGCTGATAAACTCGGTAAGAGTGCTTTTTACTTTTCTTTTCACCTTTTTTTTACACATTTAATATGTTCTCTGCATGATTTTAAGATCTTTCAAATAGAATCTCAAAACACCAAATATAGTGTTTTTGTCATAGTTCAAATATGTAGTGGTTTTTTTTGCGGGTTCCAGCTATGTGGAAAAAATACAAGCATGAAAAGGAATTTTAAATTCCTTTTCTTTTTTTTTACACTCTCACTGTCTCTCTTTCTCTCTTCCTCTCCAGGAGCTTGGCACTCCAAACAGATTGGTAAATGCCTCTACGGAATCGATAATTCCTGCCACTACAGGAAGGAGGCTTCGTTCTTTGGATACTTTCCGTGGGTATGGTGCTCTTTCACTAATTGTTTCGGGTCCAATGCGCTTGAGATGGGAATTGAAACATGCAGGTGAAAATGATCTTGCACAGAAGCTGCTACTTTGCATACTGCGAAGCTGGTTGTCAACATGTAATTTGCATTTCATTTCCTATTATCCTGAAATAGAATGATTAAATTCGAATTTGTTAAAACAAGGTTACGTTTGCTGGTAACCTTACCTGACAATTGACTTTTCAGTGTTTTATTGTCCGCCTAATTTATAAAAATAAATCATTCTCCTTATTTATTGTGGTCTGGTTTAATTCCAGATTCTCTGTTAAGACAAAAATGAACCTCTTTCCGTTTTCTCCACAGCCTTGCTCTGGTCATTATGGTGTTTGTCAACTACGGAGGTGGACGTTACTGGTTCTTCAGGCACGAAAGTTGGAATGGTAAACTCATTTTTTCTTTACAATTGCTGATAGCATATCTTTTAAAGGGGACATATCACGCTAAATTCACTTTTTTAGCCCTTTAATGCATTTTGTTGTATATTTGGAGTGTTTATAAGTACAGAAAAGTTGAAATTATTCTCTTCAGGTGCTTCGTTTATATCTTTATATTCTGTTTTGGTCATATTTTGCAACCTGTTCAGAGTTTTCTGTTCGCTATGGCGTATTTTGAACGATTACGTCACAGTATTTTCAGCGGTACTGCCAAATAAGGACATTGACTATCGGCCCAACACTTTGAGCAATCCGCCATTTTTATTTCTCGCTTCGATTTTGTAGTCCAAGCTCAATGATGCAGAAGTTATGAGAGGGCAAGTCATACTGTCCGGTTGTTTAATGTAGTGACCCACACGCGAAGTGCGGAAAGCACTTCAAGGATTCCAACTTCAACAACCTCCCCTAGTATAAAGAAGGGTTCGCCAATCGACTTTGTCTGAATGAGGGGTAAATATCGTTAATAAAAATAAAGGACTTTACTTTCTTAAAACACATGGTGGTCATGGTTTAGCAGTATCTTTGTCTTTCTTTGTATTTGTTTTGAAGTAACGTTACACGTCTGCAGTATTATTGTTCTCTTACCGAGTTTCATCAATGGTCATTTAGCAGCTGTGTTTTCTGATGCTTTTCTAAACGTATCATATTATCAATACAGATTTTCAGTGGTAAGATTAGACCGTAGTCATTTATCTTGTCAGTGTGCTTGTTTTAACAAGGGAAATAATCGACTTTCACTTATAACACAATACAGTTGCATACCATTGCAATACATCCATATGAAGACGTTGTTCTCCAGGTTCGTGGTTTTCTTTTTCCACTCGCTCTCTCTGGTTCGAACATGTAAGGCTTGATGGACAAGTTTTCCGTTGTTGATATTTTGCGAACGTGTGAATAAAAACGTTCTTCGACGCTATATGAACGAACGTATATCTTTAATCAAACTACATAAATGGCCAAAAAGGGTGGAGTTGAACCGACCGTGAACTCAGCTACCTGTAGAGCGGGCGGGGTGTGACGCATCTCCTTTTTATTTAAAGAGGCCGCTTCAAAATGGGTTGCTCACAGACGCACATCAGAAAAGGGCTAGAAAAGGGGCCTGTGGAGCTATGATAATGAAGAATTCAGACCCAAGCATTGCAGTTTCGCTTTATATAGATCACAAATGTATGATTTATATGTAAAAAGGAATGATTTAAAAGCATGATATGTACCCTTTAAGCACCAGATAATTTATCATTGGTAGCAATGGTGAGGAATACATTTAGTATAGAGGGAATGCATTGACGTCACTTTCCCGCCGGAACAATCCCCCTCAGCCTGACTGAGTGGCAAAAGATCTGCTGCGTGGCTGGATTTAATAGGGAAAACTGCGAAAATGCGACTAAAACGAACAATTTTATGAATTTAAACTAATTGTTGGACTCAATATAGTGTTCCTTACAACTTACTAAGATCCATGGATATTGACATGCAGCTAGGAATCGTGTTGCCTGACATTTATGTTTGCCTGATTTCGACACCAGAGAAATAAAAGCAATATAGACCTAAACATAAAGCAAATTTGCCTGTGAAGTCTTTATATAAATACAATATAGGTATGTCTAAATCCAGGTGATCACTTGTAAGTTTTTATTTTTTGGTCAGTGTTTATTAAAAAACGTTGAATAATGCAGAATATGCAATGATAAATATTTAATTGATGAGTTAAAATATATGGGTATGGTTTTTTACACCTAAATTCAGCATATTGGCACAAAATGATAATTGCAAATCCACCTTTTGCTGACTGGAGTCCAGTTGTTTCTGTGAATTCCAGCGATCCATTTGTCAAATCTAGTTGTACAGTCAATCGCAAAGCTCTTTCCCACTTAATATGTGTTGTGTTTGTTTTTCGTGACATTCACACTGAAAACAAATACAACCACTCAGTTTTTTTTGCCACTCACTGTGAGTAACTGCAGACATTTCGGCCGACGGTGACATCACACGCATTCCCTCATGAACATATTTAGAATATTACTGAAAAGCACTCATGAATTTAATAGACCTTGGCATGACAACAGAAAGTACAAGTATCTGATTGTGTTCTTCCTCTTGCAGGGCTCACAGTGGCTGATCTCGTGTTTCCTTGGTAAGCCAATCCAACGTCACAAATGACGCAACTGCAACTTTTGCAGCTTCCTTAAACTCTGTTTCAGTTATTGTTTTATAGCGCAGTATTGCAGTAAAGCTTTTTATTTCTGTACCATGCATTGATTAATCTGCGAGCTCCATCGGCTCTGGCATAAGCTGTAGTGTATTGGAGCCAAGCATGGGTGCTTATCACTGTGGCACAAATGAAGTGGCACATCTAAGTCAGCATAAACTGGTTTCACAGCGGAACTAAACCCAATAACCTTGTTTTGTGCTCTGCAGCTGAAAAGATGCTAGTTAAAGTCATGACACCTCTGTGTTGTTGCAGGAAGCCTATATAAAATGACCATGGAAGGTGTAGTAAAACATACAGTGTGTCATCATTTCCTCACCGTCATGTCGTTCCAAACCATAGTTTTCTTTTTCTTTGGTGAAAAACAAATGGAGATGCCTGTTCAGAATGTTCTCACTGCTTTTTCCCATACAATGTAAGTGTAGGGACAGGTGGCTGTCAAGCTCCAAAGGAGGAAAAATAAATAAATTCTAGTTTAATATATTTTAAAATGTTATTTATTCCTGTGATGGCAAAGTTATTTTTTTTTTTCATGATTATTCCAGTCTTCAGTGTCACATGATCCTTCAAAAAATCATTCTTATATGTTGATTTGGTACTCAAATTTTTTTTAACTATTACTAATATTGATAGGAAACTGTGATACTTTCAGGATTATTGGATGAATAGAAAGTTTAAAAGAACAGCATTTATTTGAAATATAAATATTCTGATACTATGTATGACCGTGTAATCCATGCTTCTCAAACCATATGATTCCCTATTTTGATAAACAGACTGAAATGTATGTATTTATTCATTAAAAATCTCCTGTAGCTCTTTAATCTCTTTCATGCCTTCACATAATCAAAATTTCCATCACGGAATAAGAATGACGTGTCTATATGGTCTAAAATTTCTCATTTGGTGTTCCACAAAAGAAAGAACGACATGAAGGCAAGTAAATAATGACAGCATTTTCATGTTTCAACTATCTCTTTAATTCTATCTGTGGTAATGGTGCTTTGAGACAATATATTGCATTTCCTACACAAAATATTAAGCCAAGATATAGCTTTGGATGACTTTACTGTATTTTATTAGAAAGAAATAGTATAGAGAGACAGGAAACCTGGGGGGACCAATGCGATCAAAGCATGAGAGAGACTCCAGAGATAAATGTGCGCTACAGATGTTGAAGAGAAATTGGCTTTCACACAGTTCCATTTGTGGATGATGCTTAATCTGTGTGTTTGAAATCACGCCAGAAAGTAGCACTTCCTAAAATGAGTATCTATTTTTTTTCTCTTCTTCTGTCTTGCATCATCTAACTTTCTTCTTCACAGGTTTGTGTTCATTATGGGTACTTCTATTTGTTTGTCCCTGAGTGGTTCAATTCGCAGAGGTGTCAAACGCACTCATCTTCTGTGGAGGATTGTCTGGAGGAGCTTACAACTCTTTCTTATTGGAGTCATCATCATCAATCCTAACTACTGCCAAGGACCCTGTGAGTAGGACACTTTTTTACTTATTTTTCTTCATAAAACTTTCAAAACAGTGTAGCTCTATCCCTGCAGATATTAATAAATTCTGTGCTGTTTTATAAACTAAATGCAGTGTGAACCACCTCAGTATTGTATATGATACAAATGAAGATACATTGATTTTTTTGTTGTTCCATTGGATAGCTAAAGGCCCTGTGACTTGATGGTTTTAAAGGGATAGTTCACTTAGAATTTATTTTTTGGTATGTTTTAGCTTACCTCAAGGGCATCCAAGATGTAGCTGTCTTTGTTTCCGCAGTGGTTTAAATTTTGATATTTTTAGGTTAAACCGTTCTTGTCTGTCAGTCATATAATGCAGGTCTATGGTCACCACCTCAAAGAGCGAGCACAGAGAAGTCGTAAATGTAAGTACACATTGATGGTATAAGACACGAAACCACATCCAAGTGATCTGAGGGCGCAGGCTCTTCGGTCTGCGCAAGCGCCGAAAACCCTTGAAAGTGATCTCTCGCACATGTAAGTCACTCATTGTTTACACTGAACAAAGATTGTTGCTAAGACCTGTCTATGGGTAAGACGGCTAATTAATATGGTATTAATTTGTGCTTATCCGGGATGTTTAAACCGTCGTAAAAGAAAACAATTACATATGCTCGTGCAAACTCTTCTTCACTTCCGAAGAGATCACTTCCGGCGCTTGCGGAAAGAGGTAAAAACAATATTAATACTGTTCATTTTCTCACACAAACCGCTCGTTTCGTGTCTTAGGCCATCAATGTGTACTTGCATTTACGAGTCATTAAATCATGTTTAATTTGGACTTCTCTGTGCATGATCTTTGAGGTGGTGACCATAGACCTGCATTATATGACTGACAGACAAGAACGGTTTGACCTAAAAATATCAAAATTGAAAATACTGTGGAAACAAAGACACCTACATCTTGGATGGCCTTGAGGTAAGCTAAATATCCCAAAACTATCCCTTTAATATTGACTCGACTTGCTCACAAGTTCATAATAGAATATAGAATTTCTTCTCCAATGAAATGTTCTCTCACTGAGAATAGCATTTTTCTCCTGCTAGCAATAGCAAGTAGCAAATAACGGTTTTGTTGGATAATAGCATAAAAAAGGCATCAAGCTGTTTCCTACCCCAACTTTGTTAAATACATAAACACAAGAAAGAAAAAAAGACCATTTAATCGCCATGTCCGATTATTTTTAGGAAGCTGTTTCCAAAATCATGCTTCTGATTGTGAATTTGAAGACTATAAACACAATGTAATAGAAAATATTGTTAAAAATATAAATGGTGATGTGTCATGCATGTGTGTGTATGTATTTGTACAGTATCTTGGGACTCTTTGCGGATTCCTGGCGTATTACAGCGTCTGGGCTTCACATATCTTGTTGTCGCTGTCTTGGATCTTGTGGTGGCCAAGGACAGACTAACCAATCTGTCAAGTGTGAGTCACGTTATCCTTCTCCACATGTGATATGCACACTTAACTTGCACCGCACATACAGACGAGATAAATCTAAATTAAATGCAATGTTTTTGATATCAAATTATATTATACCAAATTTGAGTGAAACTGAATGTAATTGAAAATGTTCCCTTCTTTTTGTATTTCTACTGTATACACCACTTTTGTTTGAATGGCACTCTAAGTGGCATTAACTCTTACTGTAATTATTTTGTTAATTTAAATAATAATAATAATTTTAAATTGTCTATCATCTTTTTGTTCACAGGAGACATTTTGGTACTCGGTGCATGATGTCTGCCTCTACTGGCCCGCATGGCTGTGCGTGATTGTCTTAGAGACGATATGGTTATGCTTGACATTCCTCCTCCCAGTGCCAGACTGCCCAACGTTAGTAAACTCATTCTCATGATATGAGTGCGTCATTTTTTTAACAGCTGTCTAAATGTCCTTCCTCATATCCCCTGCCTCATTTGCAATCACAAAGGGAACCCGCTGCAGAAACTACTTTTTTTCTGATTTGTTCAAATTACATGTTATTTGCATAAATATCAGTAAGACATTATATATATATAAATAGATTTGTCTGCTAATTAGAAATGTTAGCATATTTAAAAAGTACTTTTTCCCCTGGTAAATTATAAATGGTGAAAAAATAGTTATTTCATAGTGTTATTAGCCAGTTGTAATTGGTTATATTGAATGGATGGATGGATTGGTGCTACATAAAATGAATATGCAAATGAAAGTGATTTGAATAGCATGACTCATGTCCATCTATTTGCTATTCATGACATGCATTTTGCATGGAAATTGCTAGATTTTTCTTCTTTATGTCTCTCTCTCTCTTGCAGGGGTTATTTGGGTCCAGGGGGCATTGGTGATTTTGGCCTGTACCAAAACTGCACTGGTGGAGCTGCAGGTTACATTGATCGCTGGTTGCTCAGAGATAACCATATTTACCAGACACCTTCATCACGGGTAAACAGACACCAAAACTAAGAACTGTTTGTCATTCTGCCAGACGTATTTAGTAGGGCTGAGTTTCACTATTTGAATCAAGTTCTGATCTCGATTCGATTCTAGGGTACATTGATTCATTTTGATGTATGTCATATACACTACATGTATATTTTTCTCAAGGAAATAAACTATTACTGTGCTCTGCAGAGACCCCAGTCAGTTGGTTCATTACAATTATTTTAAAAGTTTAAATTAACAATATACAAACATTAAAATTGTATACATTTTTAATGGTAAAATACATTTTTAATGGTAAAATTATGTTTCTACTCCAGTTCGATTTTTTTTTTTTTTTTTAAACAAACATTTTAAATTGGCTTTCATAAATTGTTTTTATGCATACATTTATTCAAACATATATTATTGAAGAACAGGTTAAGTAAAAATATAATACATATGTAATGTAGCACATATATTTAGCGAAATTTTAGTTGATTTTTCTAACTAACCATCAAGCTATTGACATTGAATGGGGTAAATGTAATCTTACGTGACGTTTTCTAGATGTTTTATTAATGTCTTTCCGTGGTTGAAATTAATTGAGTGATTATATGTCATTTTGGTAAATTGTAATGTAACTTTCAACATACCTTCTGATGTTCATTCATGTTTATTTAAGTGCTATAATAACTAGTACTAAAGAGGAAGAGATGTTCACATGTGCTTTGCACTGCTGCTTCGTTTGAACTGCTACAGCGATCTGTCACCCTACATTACAGAGCAGCAAAATAGTGGGGTGTTTTTTTTTTTTTTTTTGGACTAAAATTGACTGGTTTGAAAGCTGACTTTTTGCATATCAAAAGTAACTAAGCACAAAGCTTATTGCAATTTAGGCACACTACAAATAATCAACTGACGTAGATTAAAAGATTGATTTGTGGGGATTTAAGCATTGATATCAATTCATCAATATGTGATTAAAATTCAGAAATCGATTTGCTAGAGCAACAGATAAGTTTCCACTCTTACTTTCTGTACTACCACTCGCTGATGCAATTCATTGTGTTTTTGTCTGTGCATATATATAGGTTGTATATCAGTCTATGATGCCCTTTGACCCTGAGGGTGTTTTGGGAAGCATCAACTCCATATTGATGGCTTTTCTGGGTCTTCAGGTGAGTCAAGGAGAAGAAATTTGGTTATCACAGTAGCTTTATTTATGGACCCTTTTCACAGACTGTGATGCTGTGTTATCAACAGTCAAATTTTCACATTTTCATTAAAAATATAATTACATATATAATGGTGTACTTTGTTATTATTACCCTGAGAATAAATTAATTAATGAATTATCACTGTTGTGAGGGTGTTTCTAATACAATGGCTGAGGGAGTGATGTATATATTTTCCTTCTTTTGGAAAGTCTTTAAACACTCGTGTTTTTTTTTTTTTGTTTTTTTTTGTTATTGGAACAAATGGGAATACAAACATTATATGTGTTGTTGTCTCCAATTCGCCACTATAGAAGTTTACCCAACTATGACGTCTTCCACTTCTAAAACCCCCATAAATTGGATGTTTTCTTTTTTTCCATTTCTCTCTCTTTTTTTTAATCCTCAGCATCATAAGTGATTATCCTTTCCCTCCCTCTCTCTTACTGAATCAGTTTCAGCAGTGCAGTCACATGCTTCATGTAAACTATTTTTGTTCTGCAGTGCTTCTGGGAATCACATCTAATAATTGTCTTATCCTATTGCATGTTTTGTGTTCATTTGTGTTTCAGGCAGGGAAAATTCTGCTGCATTACAGGGACCAACACAGGCAAATAATCACACGGTTTCTCATTTGGGGATTCATACTGGTATGTTTACCATCTGATTATTGTTTGTTTTTGCTAGCACTTTATATAATAACTCAGTAAGATGTTTAGACATTTATATTGTTACAAAATATGTCTACCTCAAATAAATGTTTTTTTTTTTTCTTTCTATTAATCAAATAATCTTAATAAAATGCATTACAGTTTTCACAAAAATATTAAGCATCACATGTGTTTTTAACATAATAATAATGTTTCTTGAGCACCAAATTAGCATATTAGAAAGATGTTTGAGGAATCATGTGACACTGAAAACCGTAGGAAATCTTTGTAGAAAACAGGTTTTTAAAATTGTAATTAATATTTCACTATATTACTGTTTTGACTTTATTGACTGTATTTGAATGTATTGACTGTATTGACAAAGAGGTATATTTTGTGATAAAGAGTTGATTATGCTATTAATTACATTGCTACTCACCCGATAAATTCATAAATCAACATTAAATACTGATTTACAGTAAGTAGAAATTAATTTGTTACGAAAAGAAAGAGACCTAATATTGGTGCAGTTGTGTAAGAAATAAGGGTCATTTATACAGCTAAGCAGTTCTTATACAAAAATATTTCAACACAGATATGCCATGAATGACCAATAACAATCAAGTGCTTCAGACCGTCATGTAACTATGTTTGGTAGTGCTATTAGGGATGCATTTAACACATTTTTATTTATTTATGTTTATATTACAGTTGTCTTATTTTGAACCCCTACACATCAGAAGATTCAAACACGATTTGAAATGTACACAGTCAGTCAATATTTATATAAAGCTGTGTTTGTGGAAACCTCATGCTGTCTATCTTTGCATTAAGGGGATCATCTCAGCTGTATTGACCAAGTGCTCCAGAAATGAAGGCTTCATCCCTGTCAACAAAAACTTGTGGTAAACTCAATCTGCCTGTAGTTTTACTTATTTTCATGTGTAAAAATCCACAAAAGACAAGTGTCATTTGTGGTCACAAATTTACGAACAGCTTGTTCATATGTGAATGCACTTTCATTAGCAGAGGAATGTATTGTTTGATGTGTGATTCACAGCTTCTTGTGCGACTTTCAGGTCTTTTTCGTACGTGACGACTCTCAGCTGTTTTGCTTTTGTGACTCTGGGGGTTTTTTACTACACGGTGGATGTAAAGAAGTGGTGGTCTGGAGCTCCTTTCTTCTACCCCGGTAAGCACTTTAAAAAGCCAGAATGAATGTACCTAGATTGATGAATGCACCCAAATTTACCTTTTATTACTTTCTATATATATATATATATATTTAACATTTGACCCCTATGACTTAGAAATATCTATCCGTGTTTGTATTATTTGTACTATTGTGGCAGTAACAAACCTCAAGGGGACAATATAGTTACCTTCAAATGCCTCTGCCAGGGTCAGCATGAAACAGAAATGGCAATAGTTCCCTATTATAAAATATATATACGAGTAAACCGGCTTCTTGAACAATAAAAAAAAAATGGAGGGTGGGACTTGAATTTGTACATTGGAAATTCATTGTATCCTTGTGGTTTGCTTTTGCTGTGATGTCATGTGAGTGACATGTTGTCTTGTAAACACGCCATCAGAGAAAAGATGTCGCTGCAAAATGGAGAGGAAGTTATTTTGATGAACGATTATGTAGGCACATGCATTTAAAAAAAATAATGATGTGCACAGTTAATTATAGTAAATACTGCAATGTTCAATACAAAATGAGAATTGTCGATTTTGATTCCACAGTGACTCCACAGAAACCATATTCTGGACAAATGTGGGCAAAATAGTTTTGATTTATTTTTAAAAAAATTCTTCCCTTGTTCTGAGCAGTACAAGACTTGGCTACTTTTCCTAAGTTTGCCTCCTGGACACACACAATTTTACAATGTTAAGTGGGTGAAAAAAACAAAAACTCCTTAATCTTGTATTTGGGTCAAAAATGGGCACCCATAGAAATGAACGTGAAAAACTGTAATTTAGAGTATTCTAAAATAAACCAAAATAAGACACCAGTTGACAGCAAAGTCACTTCATCTTTAGCTCTAAGAACTTATTGGAATGATAATTTAAAGTTTAAAAAAAAAAAAAAAAAAAACATAAAAATAAGCATAATTTACATAGAAAATATGGTACTTTTTGAAGTAAATAAATTCAAAAATACCCCCCCCCCCAAAAAAAAAAAAAAAAAAAAAACACACCATAAATGGATAGATAAAACTTTATCGAAGACAGTGATATAACATTTATTATAAATAAAAATTAGGATCACACCTGAGTCCCACATTTGTCCACAATTTCAGGATTAAGGGCTATAAAAACGGTTTGAGGTTAAATATATACGGTTTAAATATTTTATGATTAAATATACGGTTTGAGGGCTACAACTTGATTTGTTGTTATTCAGGCAGCTAGCTATAAACATGTTGACAGTATAATCAAAGAAAACAAACTATAAAAAAAATGCAGTTTATGCCTTATAACTATGGTATTTTATGAATTGCTTTCAATTAGGGGTCGAACTGATTAGTCGATGATATAGTCATTATACACAAACGCATATCCATTTATCGCATATGCACATTACACAGATATCCACAAACGAGCTGACAGAGCATCTATTGAAGGCAATGTGTAAAACTATCGCAGATCAAAGTCTCGTTAAAAGTCATCATCAAAATCATCTTTGTTAAAAGTAAAGCAACACAATGATCTTGTCTGTTGCCACTTTCTCTTATTGCTGTCTTTGATTTTGAAATGAAGTTAGCTGATGATCAATAAAATGCAGCTCGAACTGTTGCTTTCGGTGACGTGAACCCCGTTAAATCTGCTTATAGCGCGGGGTTTGAAGGTCGGATTTATATCCGTTTTGCGAAATCACATTTATGTGACCACGTGTAAATGGAACCGTTTTGATAAATCAGATAGCTATCCGACCTAAGAAAACGCATGAAGTGTCCAGGTGTAAACAGCCCCATTATGAGCTGTCTGTCAGCATCTGTATAATTTTCTGCTAATAAATTGCAAATTGTGGCATGTTGCAAAGCAGTTCCATTTCTTGTATTTTTATAAACGACTATTTGACGTCGACTCGACTTTGATGTCTTAACAGTCGACTTAAAAAAATCTGCTTTTAATATTTTTTTTTTATTTGGCAGGTATGAATTCCATCTTGGTGTATGTGGGACATGAAGTGTTCGAAGAATACTTCCCTTTTCGCTGGAAGATGGCCAATAGCCAATCACACGCAGAGCACCTGGCACAGAACCTCCTGGCCACCTCTATATGGGTGTTCATAGCCTACCTGCTCTACAGGAAGAAGATCTTCTGGAAGATTTAAAGGCAGATCTGTATCCTGCAGATTTTAGGACCTGCTCTTCATTGTGAAAGAGATTTTTTTTTTTTTTGGATATTTTTAGATGTAGAAAATCAGCAGATCTCTGAACATCTGTGGGGAGACAACTCGCATGTGATCCAGGAATAGAACTTGGCTATTATTTGAGAAGAGCAGAAGGAAGAGAAAAGGAGATCACATGGCAGTGCGAAGATACCTCTTTTTGGACTCAACCAAGCCTTCAAAACGAATGACAAGATGCCAAGGGCAGATTCTGCTAAAATCTAATTCAGTCTGCTGGTTTTGGGTTAATTAATGTTTTGAAGCACAGTGATGCGTTATGATTGGATTTGGGATTTCTTATGGCGCTTTTCCACTGCATAGTACGGTACGGTTCGGTTCGGTACGGCTCACTTGTGGTGCTTTTCCACTGCATGGTACGGTACAGTACGGTTCGCTTCAGGTCGCTTTAAATGGTACCTGGTCTGTTGAGGTTCCAAGCGTACCGTACCGGTACTAAAATGTGATGTGAAACACTGCAGACCACTGATTGGTCAGACAGAATCGTCACTACCAGCGTCACTACTAGCGTCATTGGATTTGCGACACGAGACACTTTTTTAGCAGTATTTTTGTTTTGCTGCCATCAGCCTCATTTTAAACACATTTTTCCGTCTAGCAGTTAAAAACAACCACATACCGAGAATCAGGAACACCATCCCCTCGATAGTCTCCATTGTTCCTGTGTTGTGGGTTTGAAAATGTGGCGCTTTTAAGATGATGTCATGGCAGTAGAGGCGCGCGCAAATAACGATCAGTCCCACACACTTTGAAGGGGTATTACTGCCGAAGCGTACTGAGCCGCAGTGGAAAAGCGCCATTAAATTCTGAACGTTCCAGGACTAAGTTAGGTTTAGTTAAATAATTGATTTCAGCAGTTGTGAAACTATAAGCAAATACGAAGGAATGAAAACCCCAAACTGCCAAAAAACAGTCTTCCATCAAGGTCTACAAAATATGCTGAAGGATCCTCTATTAAGGCAAAGTAATGTTACACAATTTTAGGTTTAATTTTTAATGTCATGAACACTCTGGGACTTTGTGTCTTTTTTGTATTTTCAATGGACGCTTTATCTCTTTTTTTATACTGTGATTTTATTCTTTATATCGTAAGATCAAAGTTTCATGGTAAGAATAGGATGTGTGTTCTGCCTTCTCAAAATCTCAGGAGATTTGCACAACTTGAATGCCAAATATAATGTACGTTATGCTTTCTCAGATAAAACAATGTCCTTGTTTATTACAATTTACCAATAACTTGTAACCTCTCCCAAAAACATACATCAAATTACAGAAAGAAGAAAAAAAAAAAAACACTAATCACTGACATACTTTCCATATACATTGCTGCTTAAGAGGGTCTTCAGGAGGGTTCTCTTCATATCACCAGTCACTCTCAGACAAACAACAGTTTCAAAATTCATGTCTGAGGTATGTGTGCAATTTTGTTGCGTGAAAGCCAAATGTATTATTTGATAGTTCACTCAAATTTAAAAATGTCTGTCGCTCCAACATTATTTCTTCTGTGGAACATTGAACATGGAGGATATTTATATGTAATCGAAATTATTGAACCCCATTGCAAATCAGGTTTATTGGCAAAATTCTGCAAATTGTCAAAAATAAACATACAAACACGTCATCAGATAATATTAAAGATTACAGGGCACATGAATAAAAAAAACCGATTATGGCTAAATGATTTATAATATATACTGCAATATTCCATAAAAAATAGAAAATTGTCAAGTTTGTTTTCATCGGGACTTTAAGCGTTACTGCGCCTTTAAAAACCTGTCCGACGGCGCGGGTACGCAGTGCGCATGCTTGAGGATATAGGAAGTCGGTGCTCGGGTGATGTGGACTTAAATCGCTCGAGAGCATCAGCGGCGTGTCTTTAAGAAGAACGAACAAACTCTAAAAGACGGACTCACGGATATGACGCGGGTTTTTTGAGAGGTGTCTGAGTTTCTCTGGACAGAGACAGAAAACACCCACAGTCCGCAATGATGGCAGAATGTGATCCCACCGACGGCGAGCCGGAGAAAGGCGGCGGAGATTTAACACCGGAGGCGAACTTTCTCAATTCGGGGGTGCCCGCGGTCTTATTTGAAAAGACCCGGTCGGTGCCGTCACTGGGACTTTCTTTGAACCCCGGGGCAGCGGTCCGGATCTCGGACTCGACGGAAAGCGTGCTGACGGAGCTGGAAGCGGACGGGTCGGGGGAAGAGGCTCTTCTCTTACCAGGACCTGCCGGGAATCTCTCACCTCGGGCTGGGAGAGAGAAAAGGACGCGAGGGAACAGACATAGTTCATCATCTGATAATCTGGCATCTCCAGGTGAGATATATGAACTGAATGTCACTCATAATCTGATTAAACTGGCTCAGAGTAGAGGTGTCTTCACACACTTCCGACACCATTTGGTTTGCTTCTCTAACAAAATTTTGTTTTGATGTAGCTAACGTTATATCTTTCAGTGCGATATTTCAGGATTTCAAAAAGCATTACATTTTCTGTTAACTTCTTTTAAATAAAACAACATTCACCTTAGTTATGTAAAATAACACCACTGACCACGCCTTTATTAAAATTTAGCCGCTCCCCCTTTTTAAATGACAGCCACTTTTCGTCATTTTATTGTTTAAAATGAATTCAGTCGGAGAAAGAACGCACTCGGGACCAGTCTGCATTAGTTTCCATAGCAACCGCGCGTGTTCTGTTTCTGTTAAGCGCAGTGTGTTCCAAAAAAACAACAGCTAATATACTTTGGGGAACTTTGTAAGCTGTTAAATAAAATAGAGAGGGGATGTTTTTTGTGCCTCCTCCCTAACGCACACTGAGCTGAAGTTTTAATGTGAAAGAATTGTATGAAATATTCTAAATTCACTCCCACACGTCTTGCGCTACGTGCTACCTGTTACCCCATCTGCTTTATCTCAGAACATGGTCCGTTATGCAACCTTTCCAGAGTTCAGCTTACATGCTCTTTGAACCTGGAGCACACATGTACAGGTGACACCACAGCTGCTGCTGGAATATCTTCAGAACTCTTGATACACATGCGTAACTGTTTCTGTGTGTAGCAGCTTGCTGCATATATTATAGTCCTTCCAGGTGCGTCTGTACTCACAAGATTGTTAAGAGTAGATGTTGAGTGCATTGACGATGCAATACAGTTTCCTTGCAAATTAATAACAGGTTCATTTGAATGCGGATAAACTAGAGAGCAGAAGCACGCTTTCTGCTTTCTCTTTGAGATCCACATCCGAGCCTTCAGTCAAAGGGGGAAAACAATCCTTTAGGGTCTCTCAAAAGCAGTTGCATTGCCATTGCCTACTTTTAAATGAAGGTATTATTAGAACTGCATTGCTATGATGCTATTTTTGTTTCTTTTATAGGCATAATGCAGTGTGCAAGTGCTACATATAGTTATTACATATAAATGCTGCCAGAAACGAGACGTTCTTATTTACACGGCAAAGTAATATGATTGATAACATCCAAAGATATCACATAACACTTAAAAAAAAGCTTTAAATTGCAATGAAATGAGTTAGATACACTGATAAGCCAAAACGATATGATTAGGCGCAGATGAAGCAAATATCGTTGTTCATCTCCTTACAAGGTGCCATGTTAAGGTCTGGGTAGATTAGATGGTAAGTAAGCAATCAGTTCTTGTAATCATGTTGGATGCAAGAGAACTGGCCAGGAATAAAGATCTGAGTGAATTTGACAAGGGCCAATGTGGCAAGAGGCGTGGGAATGAAGCGAGTCCGAGCTCCGATGAGTCCTTTTTTTATTATTATATATTTTTTTACGTCATGTCGACGGCTTTGTACTTGTGCGCTGTTTGCCTGGAAAAGTGATGGCACCAGGATGCACTGTGGGACTACGACAAGCCGGTGGAAGGGACGTGAATTTTCATTGCATGTTGTTGACTTTAAATTTGTTCTTATTAAAGCTAAAACCAAATTATGCCTAATTACCCTGAAGGTGGTTATTTTGTGTTGATTCTACTGTAATCTGGTAGGAGATTGGATGTGAGTATATTTGAAAATAGGGAAATTAGCCTAGTCTTTTTGAAATCATGCAATTTTTTGCCAGCTTCACCAAGACGTCTGCACTTGTAGTTATTTATTTCAATGTGTGTGTTTTTTTTACTAGTCTCTTTCAGACTTTTTTTGGAAATGAGATCTCAGCATGCTTACATCAGTTTGATTTAAATACTGGAATGTTGTATGAATTTGGAAATAATCTTAATTACACATTGTAGCTAAGATGCTAAGCTATTCTGATAATTGATATGACATGCAGATATGTTTTCTGAGGTGTGTTTGTATGGGTGTGTCTGGTCTGTGTGTACAAGAGAGGGAAAGTGTTCTTGTCTTCTAAATGTTTAATGGCCATCAGAGAGGTTCAGTCTGTGTGTGTCTAATGGTCTCTCTTATTCACCCAGGGAAAGCTACCCAGAGACCATCGTGTGTGTTTTACCTTCTAGAGCATGTTGACCACTTTGTGTTCGTTTTACTCCAGTCTTTGCATTCATTGTAGATTCTGAAAAAAAAAAAAAAAATACCATGTGAGTTTTGGTAAAATCCATTGTGAAATAAATAAATATCATGGGTTCATGTATTGTGACTCCTATGTGTGCTAGGCTTTGTTCACACTGCATTTTAAAAATAGATTTTTAGGAGTTGCTGTCATTTTGCAAGTGACTTAATCTGTCTATTTGTTGAGTGTAGCTGCATCGGTTACTATAGTAATAATCCATACATTTTTTCAATGGCTAATAGCATCAAACCACTTACCAATTTGGCTTGATCAGTTTTGTAAACTTTGGGTTTTGTATGGTTTGTTTTTTGTATGGTCTGCTTGAATCATATTCACCAGTTTTTGCTGCCTTTCTAAACAAAGCCTTTGTGAGCATGTTGTGTATGTAGTTCAGTGTTTGTAAGATACATGCAGGCCCTCTCTACTTTAGTTTGGAATGGACAGTGGCTGGATCTGATCATCAGTTGCCTCTGCACAGGTCACGTGTGACATTAGTGAGTTTTTGCATTAGGAATCCTCAATGGTGGCACTGCAAAAAAAAAAAAAAAAAAAACTTCAGTATTGTTAAATCAAAGTAAACATCCGATTAAAATAGATTTATTAAAAAATAAAATAAAAATATAGGGCACTGTTTTTTTTTTTTAATTTATTTAAAAAAATTATAAATTAGATGGTAGCAATCTGCAGATCTTAGAAATGGTGGTGTATAAGAGGATGAAATGATTGGAGACGTCCAGCACACATCACAAGAGAGAAGGCCGTCATTTCCTGGAAAGAACACGTTTTTTTATTAAGAATTACAAGGTCATGCATTTAAAAGATGGAATTGAAAATTGAAATTTGATTAAAAAGTCAACTTTAAGGAATATGTAGAAGTCTCCTTTGTGCTGCATGCATTAAGGAATACTAGAATTCTTAGCTTGTACATGAATTATATTAGCTGGATTCTTTTTAGTCTTAATCTTTTTTTTTTCTGCCAAATTTTACAAAATGGGTATGAGAACCCACATTATAAACTTTCAAGACCAAGTACAGCACATGAAAACATTGCATTTGAGGGTCTTTAGATCAATCTCTTTGATATTGAACCTTTCATCTAACACCTATATTTCAGCCTTTTTTTTTGCACTCCAGAAATGCACAGTGCTCCTAATTTGTATCTTTTTGAAGTCTGGTTTGCAGACATCGCAAAAGTGTTTGACTAAATTGCATGCTCAATAGTGCTTCAGCTTTGATTTGTGGGAGTAGGTTACTTTTTCCAGATAAATATGGCCTTGAGCAAAAAAAAAACAAAGAAAAAAAAATTCCCCAAAACATTCTGCTGTATGGCCTTTTGAGATGAGGGGACATATTTGCATATAAATGTAGACATGCAAGTGAATATATTTGCTGCACTGTACATTTGACTCACTTTGTATTTGTGCTTATAGGTAACAGCAGTGGAGATTTCAACCATTTCCCAGAAGACCCAGAATTTGGGGAGATTATCCAAAGGGCAGAGCAGTCGATAGAAAATGGCGTATTTCCTGAACGGATCTCGCAGGGATCCAGCGGAAGCTACTTTGTCAAGGATCCTAAAGGGGTATGTGTATTTAAATGGGTGTTGTTGAGATTTTGTCCATAAGAAAATCAGTTTAAACGCCATACATTTAATCATTTTTAGCAGATACTTTTATCCAAAGCGATTTACAAATAAGGAGAACAATAGAAGCAGCTGAATCAACAAAAGAACAATATATATATATAAGTACAATATGTAAAGACTCAGGGTTGATTTGGCAGGTCATTCCACCAGCAGGGAACAATCAAAGATTTTGTGCCTCTTTTGGATGGCTCAACATCAGTGTTTCCCACAGCACTTTAAAATTCAGGCAGCCGCCTAAGCAACACACGCCTGCCGCCTTAACTACGTCGTCAAAAAAATTTGCCTAAGCCTATGGCTCGGCGAACATAGCTGAACAGGGTGGGTTTTTATTTCTCATCTCCATAAATGTATCTAGTAGCCAAGTGAAGCTAATGCAAAGCTTAGAAATCAATTAATCCTTTGCTGATACATCCTCGTCCTCTCGGAGAGTGCAGTTCATGGTTGCATCGCAATGACAGACCACTGAAGCGCTTGTGGAAAAGAGAAAGCGTTGCGGCCGTGCTTTTCCATGCATATGCTTTTCCAAATGTGCCCAACCCCAGCTTAACTAATACATTTTCTGTGGGAAACCCTGGGTGTTGTTTACTTGCAGAACACAAGCTTCTGGAGGGCATATAAGTTTGAAGTATTGAGTTTAGGGTATAGGGAAGCAAAGCCAGTGAAATTTGATGCGATTGGCAGCCATTTCAAATTGATGAAGAGAGGCGTGACATACTCTCTTTGTTTCATGACAGACCTCTCTTGCGATTTCATTCTGGAGCAGTTGCAGAGGTTTGACAGTGCATGCTGGAAGGCCTGCCAAGAGAGCATTACAATATAATCCAGCTTGGCTTGGACAACGAGTTGTGTACTAGCATTCTCCGATAGGAAGGAAGGTATACTTCCTAATGTGGAATAAGGCAAGACTGCAGGACAGGGCAGTTCTAGCAATGTGGTCTGTGAAGTTTAGCTAATCATCAAACACAACTCCAAGGTTCCTGGTTGTCCTGGAAGGATTTATGAATGATGAGCCTAGCTGAATTAAGCTGTGACTAAGTGTTCAGTTGGCCCGAAACCACAAGCAATTCTGTCTTGGCACGGTTAAATTGAAGGTTATGGTCCTCCATCCACCAAAAATATAGGCAGGCTGAGATGCAAGCAGCAACCGTTGGATCATCCGGCTGAAATGAGAGGTAGAGTTGTCATTAGCATAGCATTGAGGTGAATACCCATGTCTCTGGATGACACATCCCAGTGATATCAAGTAAGTGATGAAGAGTAGTGGTCCAAGCACTGAGCCCTGAGGCACGACTTTGACACCTCACCCCTCCAAGATACCCCGAAGGACCTATCTGAGAGTTAAGACTTGAACTACTGGAGTGCTGTTCTGAGATGCCATTGTCATGATGGTTCAATATGAAGATCTGGTGGTTCACTGTGTCAAAAGCAGCAGACAGATCCAGCAAACGAGGACTGGTGATTTAGAAGCTGCTCTTGCCAGTCTTAAAGCTTCAATAACTGAGAGAAGGGCAGTCTCAGTTGAGTGGCTGGTTTTGAAACCAGACTGGTTGCTGTCTAGAAGGTTGTTTTGTGTGAGAAGAACAAGAACATTGACCAAAAGTTCCCATCAGCTGTGGAAAAACAAGTATTTCTTAGAGCGCTTTCACACTAGTTCTTTTGGTGTACAGCTGGGTTTTATTGATGTCAGATTTCTATTAGTTTGGATGATGTGAACGCTGATTTCCGAAACTCGTGCACACCCACACGTGCAACAACCAAATTTTGGTCTCTGGTATGGTTCATGTGAACTCTTGGATGGTTCACTGCTGATATAAAGGCAGTTTTACTCAATTTATGACATTTGATAAGAAAAAAAAAGTGTGTTCTCACTACTTTCCTGTCAAGCATGACTGACTGCAATGCAAGCAGAGAGAATGTATATCTGATTTCTGCTCGCCATAAGCACAAATGGACTACTGCTTTCTTTAGAAAATGTGCAGTAAACTACATTTGCTGCAGATAGACTCAAGTGCTGTTATGTGCTGACACTTTGAAAGCAAAACCAAAGCTTCAAAAACCAAACAATAATAGCGAGTTGAGCAACGCTTTCATTTTGCCGCCACCTCCTGCGTCATCTCACCATGCAATAAGTAAACAGCTGCTGCTTTTCATGCAAATGCACTGTGGTTCAAATCCAAATGTGAATAGCGATCAAACCAAGTGTGAAAGCACCCTAAGAGTACTAAGACTTTTTACAGTATGATTTATAGTAGTTGCATTCAAATCTAATTAAATGTGATTCTTCTATCTTATTTTTTTTTTAGAAAATCATTGGTGTATTTAAACCAAAATCAGAGGAGCCTTATGGTCACTTAAACCCTAAATGGACCAAATATTTCCATAAAGTCTGCTGCCCGTGCTGTTTTGGCCGTGGCTGCCTCATTCCTAACCAGGGCTACCTCTCTGAGGCAGCTGCCTCACTCGTGGACCAAAAACTGGGTTTGGGGATTGTACCCAAAACTAAGGTGAGGAGGATGGGCATTAGAGTGGCATTTACATTTACCTTAATATAAAGCTTTGATCTTGGAATTAAGAGCCAAACATTTTTTTTTCTTCTCTTTTAAGGTTGTAAATTTGGCAAGCGAGACTTTTCACTACAATGCAATTGACCGTGCCAAATCCCGTGGTAAAAAATACGCCCTGGAGAAAGTCCCTAAAGTTGGACGGCGGTTTCACAGAGTCGGCCTTCCTCCAAAGGTAACGAAACACCTCATTCCCATTTTCCAAAAGGGATGGTTCTTAAAATTAAAATTGTCCAAACCTATTTTCTTGTGGAACACAAAAGGAAATATTGATTTAATCTTTTTTAATCTTGTTTTTTTTTTTGAAGCCATACAATGTTGTTTTGCTGTAGCTCTTAAAATCTCATTTGCACTTTAACATGTTTGTGACCAAACGATTTAGAAGAAAATTGAGATCAGCAGAGGGCAAGATTTTCAGCAGTCTTGATTTTTCTCTTGTGTAGGTGGGCTCATTTCAGCTTTTTGTGGAGGGCTATCATGAAGCAGACTACTGGCTGAGGAAGTTTGAGGCAGAGCCTCTTCCAGAGAACATGAGGAAGCAGCTTCAGTTTCAGTTCGAGAGGCTGGTGGTGCTGGATTATGTGATTAGAAACACAGGTACCCAATGCTGATGTATGAATTAATTTTATGAAGTACAGTGTAATGCCTTTGGGCATTAGCTTATGTTCTTTAACCTATTCCCTTAAAGATCTTTACCATGGTGACCACAGTTTCCACCTAATCTTATTGTTAGTCATTTTTTTTACTAAAAAGAGCAATGGTATAGACTAGAGTAACTTGAATTAAGTCACTACTGTCAAACATTTTGGTTGCCAGTAAACCATGGTTGCCATGGTTTTTTTTTCACAGCTAGGCTTTACAGGATCTTTCTTCATTTCCTATTTTTCTACCTCCCACACAATACAAATGTGCCTTATTTTTTAGCACAACATGTTATTCCCTTGTAAAAGAAATGCTAATTGTTTACTGTGCCTTTGAAAACGAAATCTGATCTCTCTTATTTGGCTTCTTCAGACAGAGGGAACGATAACTGGTTGATCAAGTATGAGAAGCCAGGCGATGGAGAGCTGACAGAGAAGGTGAGCGGGGGGATATTTATAGAGCTCTTCTGCTGGGCAGTTCAAAGAAAATGCCATGACTGAGAGCCATGTGTACATGTGTGCTGTAATGGAAGCAGGCAAATGCAGTGGTGTCATATTCCTATTTCTTATATGCCAAATGAGCATATGTATAGTATACTTAAAAAAGTATTTAATAATTAAACCTATTGGGGTGTAATGATCTGTTGTTATATCAAAATATTGCGATGTAACATGTGATGTATATCGGTAATGTGAACAATATGCATTGTGATATAGACTTGGCTTACTCTGTTTATAAGGTATAGTTCACCCAGAAATTGTCATCATGTACTCACCCTCATGTCGCTTTCGTTCATCTTCCAAACAGAAATGAAGATGCTTTTTATGATACTTTAGAGATTTCTATCCCTCTTTTTAAAGCCCATTCCTCTAAAACTGAAAATTTCCAAAAAAGGTCACAAAGGCATCATAAAAATAATCCTAGTCTTCTGAAGAGACATTATCGCTTTATATAATGAACAGATTTACAACACACATACTATAGGAAACACGGACTGTTAAATGTCCTTGCGAGAACGACATGTGAGTAAGTAGTAAGTAAATGAAAACAGAATTTTAATTTTTAGATTAACTAACCCATTAATAGTCATTTTGACATGCTTTGTGATTAGAACTGTGATTGATCTGAAGCACATTCCTCGAATGGAAAGACAAACATTTAAATCACAATCACATTTTTAGTTTTATTAGTATGTTGATTCAGAGGTGGTTTATTCTTTTGTAAGTGCATTAATAGAGGCAGAGACAGGAGATGGTGAGCACTGTTGTGCAGCTTGTGTAAGAGGTCCAACAAATGTCTGGGTACTGTACTGTGTGAGAGAGCGAAAAAGAGCAGCGTTTCTGTGATATTACGTCATTAAAAGTTGAATATAATGTATATTACTGCAATGGGGCAATATTTGTATCTTGATAATGCCAAATGTCTGATTTTACTAGTAAAGAAAGGGCCTACATTATTTTAAATATGGAGTCGGTGACAGTGAAAGCATGTCTAACATTTTCATGATATATAAATAAAAACCTCTTCTTTATTTTGGCTTAAAGTTTCATAGTTTATGCTAATATCATATTGTGGCGAGTGTATTGTTACACCCCTAATATATACATGGCATCTCTTAGTAAACAGTTCCTTTCACATTCACAGTAAAGCTCTGTAAACATCAAACAAGAATTATTCAGTATTGCGAAAACAACTGTGTTGGAGTTCTTCATTTCTATTTGATTAAGTTAATGCAAGGGTTAAATAAATATAATGATGATTGTTTCTCAGTCCAACACTAATGCTGAATTTCTCTTCCTTATGTCTCTTTTCAGGAATCTGAATGGACTGACCCAAAAGACTCGGCCATAAAGATTGCAGCTATAGATAATGGTTTGGCCTTCCCTTTTAAACACCCTGATGAGTGGAGAGCATGTAAGGATTTTTTTTTTTTTTTTTTTACATTTCATTCTAATATGCTGACTTGATGCTCGGGAAACACTTCGAGAACAGTCGTGTTGCTTCATTTTATTTTTTTTAATTTTTTTTAAGGATTCTTTGATTTAATAAAAAGTTCAAATAGCACTGTTTCTTTGATATAGAAATCATTTGTAAATTGTAACATAATTCATGTCTTTACTGTCACTTTCAATCAATTTAATGCGTCCTTGCTCTAAAAAAAAACTTTAAACTTGAAGAAATGAATGGTCCCGTTCTTTGTGTTTCCATATTTCAAACTTTAGTTAGTGTGTAATGTTGCTGTTAGGGCATACATAATACCTGTGAAATTGTAAAGTTCAATGCCTAGCGAGATATTTTTTTGAAAGGGATAGTTCATTTTGAAATTAATTTTTCTTATGTTTTAGCTTACCTCAAGGGCATCCAAGATGTAGGTGTCTTTGTTTCCACAGTATTTTCAATATTTATGTTTTTAGGTCAAACCGTTCTTTTCCGTCAATCATATAATGGAGGTATATGGGGTCCACCTCAAAGAGCATGCACAGAGAATGAAGTATTTATATCGTGTTTACCTCTTGTAACCACAGCCACGTCCAAGTGATCGCAGGTGCTTTGTGGCTGTGGTTACAAGAGGTAAAACGATATAAATACTGTTCGTTTTCTCACACAAACCGCTCGTTTCGTGTCTTAGGCCATCAATGTGTACTTACATTTACGAGTCATTAAATCATGTTTAATCTGGACATTAAAAATAATTTCAAAGTGAACTATCCCTTTAATTTTGTCCCCTTTCAAAGCCTGTAGTGAACGTCCGTTTGGACTACATCCCTCTACTTAATGATGTTATTAGAACAGTTTTTTGACTAATCTCTGCCCATAGAAATACACAAAAAGGGGGCGTGGTCTTGTTGAGCTCCCACGGAGGAGAGGAAGAGTATCGTTTGTCGATAATTTGACATTGACACTGATATGATGCAATAATATTTTAATGTGCAGTCACATAACAATGTAATGGATGTCAACGATTTCTTTTACACAACATGGCAGCTTGTAAGGCTATATTCATGGTAAAAATTAAGTACATTTAAGTTGTTTGGATGAAAAACCCTTTCCGGGCAACATCCGATAAGCTGTTGTCGAATCACAAAACATCGCTGGCACAATCAGAACTCGTTGCGTATTTCTGAAGTAGGGACTTCATAGAACAAAGAAGTTTTTCGCCCATTTTTTGGACGGCAGTATACTGATAAGTAAATTGTGTGAAAAATACTGTTGTTTTTTTACACACGAAACAAAACAATCAATGCTTCAAAAAAAAAAAAAAAACATGAAGAACCGGACCTTTAAAACTTTTATAAAGACGTTCCCATATATGCTCAATACATTTTTGTCTGCCAAGCTCATTTCAAGCATGTCCAGATTTTACTGAATGAATAATTGGTCTATATTGGTGCTTGTAGATCCGTTCCACTGGGCTTGGTTGCCTCAGGCCAAAGTGCCCTTCTCCTTGGAGACCAGAGACCTTGTGCTCTCACGCATTTCTGACATGAACTTTGTACAGGACCTCTGTGAGGACCTTTATGAGATGTTCAAGGTAGGTAATCTCATGTACCTGTATTCTTACCATTGCTTTGGCTGTAGTTTATTTAGACACTCAACTTCTTGAACAGGGCTTTAGCAGGCTGTCAGTCCGGTTTCTGCTTGCAAGTTGAAGCTTAGCATGCTGTCAGTGCACTAAAACCCTTAAAGAAGTTGCATCACTAAATTCATCCCATTTTAAGTGGCTCTGCTAAAAATATTCTAGCTAAAATTCACAAAAACAAGAAAAAGTCTTGATAAATCGTTAACTGACCTCTAAGCGACCTGACCTCATAAATCTTTTTTTCTATTATGTGGGTATAATCTTACTCTATGCATTAATTAGCGAGAATCTTAGTATGGATTAATGTTCTTTTTTGAGTTAAATGAGTTTTCACATGAACCACTCTGTATTTCAGACAGATAAAGGGTTTGACAAAACCATGTTTGAGAAACAGATGTCCGTTATGAGAGGACAGGTAAGTTTTATGCTTTGGAATGATTGTCTTCCTATTCTTTCTCTGCTATTCCAGACTTCTGTTCTCACATTTTTCATTCTCGCCAAATACTGGAGCTCTTCACAGCTTATGTATAATTCGGGAAGCTATTTTCACCCCATCACTGCTGAGATGTAGACCTGAATTTAGACCTCATATTTTGCAATGCCAAGTAAAAGATTGTCTCTTACATTCTGCATATGTTCAGACTTAGTTTCTCTAGTGTTCTCGATGCTATTATAGATTTAAAAGATTGGGGTCAGTAAGACAATTTTTTTTTTTTTTTTAAAGAAGTCTTTATGCTAACCAAGGTTGCATTTATTTAATTTTGAAATGTTATTACGATCTAAAATTAACATTTCTTTGTGAATATATTTTAAAATGTAATTCATTCCTGTGAGGTCAAAGCTAAATTTTCATGACATTACTCCAGTCTTCAGTGTCGCATGATCCTTCAGAAATCACTCTGTTGATTTGATTGAGGAAATATTTATTATTATCAATGTTGTAAGAACTGTGATGCATTTTTTTTTTCAAGATTCTTTGATCTAGTTTAGAAAAAAAACTTTCTATTCTAGCTTCATGCATTATTTTTTTTATCAACACTTGACTGGGTTTTTTCATAAAAAAATAAACATTTTGAGCAAAAAGCTGGGAAAATTACTTTTTTGACAGACATCTGGATCAAATTTGCAAAAAGTGTGTCAAATTTTTGTGTGTGTTTTGATCAGGAGATTCGGTACTCTTTCAGAATATGCCTAATAGCGCCTCCTACCGAATAACAGCGAAAAACACGAAAAGCCGGGAAATTTCGTCAATGGCAGGGGACTGTTGTATGGAAGCTTGTTTCCGCCGCTGAATAAAAAAATAATAATAATTGCGACTTTTTATCTCACAATTGCAAGATATGAAGTCAGAATTGTGAGAAAGTCGCAATTGCGAGATATAAAGTCGCAATTGCGTGTTATAAAGTCAGAATTGCGAGATATAAAATCAGAATTGCAATATAAAGTTGCATTTCTGAGAAAAAAAGAAAGAAGTGCAGCTTTTTATCTCACAATTCTGACTTTTTTTCCCCACAATTGTGAATTAACATCTCGCAATTCTGACTTTATAAGTTTGAGTTTATATGTCGAAATTCTGACATCTTTTCTCAGAATTGTGACAAATAAGCTCGGAATTGCGAGTTATCAGGCCCATTCTAAGGGGAAAAAGACTAACTTTTTTTCCCCTCAGAATAGTTTAAATCTCACAATGCTGACTTTGTTTCATGCATTTCTGACTTTATAACACTCAATTGCGACTTTATATCACGCAATTCTGACATTTATATCTCTAAATTCTGACTTTATAACACGCATTTGCGACTATAACATGCAATTCTGACTTTATAACATGCAATTGCGACTTTATATCTCGCAATTGTGACTTTATATCACGCAATTCTGACTATTTCTCAGACTTGTGAGATGTAAAGTCAGAATTGTGTGATGTTAACTCATAAATGCTGGAAGTTTACATCTAAAAGAGTTAATGCAGATTTAGGGTTACCTTTGATCAACACTTTTATTCATCCAGGATGCATAAAATTATTATTGTTTTTTTATTTTAAAATGTTTGAATAGAAGTGTATGTAGTCATTAGGAAGTGTTATTGTGTTGTAAGAGCTGCATAAACCCCCACTGCTGAATGTAAAATTGTCCCTGCCTGTTCTTCTCAAATAGATCTTAAACCTGACCCAGGCTTTGAAAGATGTGAAGAGCCCCATCCAGTTGGTGCAGATGCCTCGTGTGGTGGTGGAGAGGAGCCGTGGAGGAGGACAGGGTCGTGTGGTCCAACTGGGCAATGCTTTTACCCAGACGTTTCACTGCAAGAGACCCTTTTTCACCTCCTGGTAAAGAGGCCTCACAGAGAGGATGAAGACTGGGTCCTATCTTTGATGGTTAGGGCCTATTCAGACACTGGATGGAGAACTTTCTGATAAGGACTTGATGGATGAATGTAGCAAAGGGAGAGACTTAAAAGACTCCACGGAGGATCTGAGGCCTTTTGTTTTCCTGAGCCTTTTCCCAGAATTCTCCTCTTCAGCTCACTATAGCTGTCAAGTTGGAATGTCAAAAGGGAATCGTTCTTTGAAAATGTTGAAGTTATGTCGTGACAGCCTTTCTCAACTGCCAATTATTTTTTAAGTATAGATATTATAAATGAAGAAGGATGCTTAAAAATAATTTAAACTTGAAAAAAAAAATGCTTGAATGTAACCTGCAAGTTTACATTTTACACGTCTCCTGAGCACATTTCAACTCCAAGGAACTCTGGTGACCACGGTATTTAATATGATGAATGTATTTGATTATGTAACAGGACGCTGGTGACCGCATATACATTGTTAAAGGTGGGTGCTTTGAATCCCCAGGTAAAAGTATAATTCCAAAAGGTTGTTTTCTCTCTTTCACACACAATCCTGTTTATGCATCTTGGACTTTGTATTCCAGCTGAACGGTTGCTAGAGCAGAGCTGTATATTAAAAATAAAGTAAATAAAAAATAAAGCTTTGGGATTGGTTAAAAAAAATTACCTAGTGTTTATTTATTTTTACATCTTTGATTTGTTTGTTGTCGATCCCTTTAAGCCAGGGGAGCATTTTTTTGCATGGAATTTTTATTTATTTATTTTCTGGTTCCAAATCAGCAAGTTTTAACTAACTATGGTGAAAACTTTGTGGGGAAAAAGTGAAAGTGTTAGAATTATTATTTTATTTATTTATTTATTTTTGTAATAAGATTTGAAAAAAAAATATCTAAATTTTCTAGTGTTCAATCAAAAATGGTTCATTCAAAAAAACATTATTTGATCCTAGGTTGAGCATTTCCTAGGTTTTAGCATTTCTAACATCAAAGGAGTAGTTCACTTAAAAAAAAAAAAAACAAGAAAAAAAAAAAAAACCTTTGGTTATAATTTACTCACCCCCATGTCGTCCAAGATGTTCATGTCTTTCTTCAGTTGAAAAGAAATTAAGGTTTTTGATGAAAACATTCCAGGATTTTTTCTCCATCTAATGGACTTTAATGGGAACCAAGTGTCTCAAGGTCCAAATGAGAGTTTCAGTGCAGCTTCAAATGGCTTTAAACGACACCAGACAATGAATAAGAGTCTTATCAAGCAAAACGTTTACGTTTTATAAGCACAAATGCTCGCCTTGCTCTGTTCTGTGATGAGTGTCTGTGACTCTCCTGTTCAAACTCGTTCATCAAAATGAACAAATCTTTGTTCGAGTCATGACTCAAAGGGTCCTAGATAAGACCCTCATTCATCGTCTGGTGTCGTTTAAAGCCTTTTGAAGCTGCACTGAAACTCTCATTTGTACTTGAACCATTTGGTTCCCAATGAAGTCCATTATATTCATAAAACCTTCATATTCTTGACATGTGTCATGTCATGATTATGAAAGTGTCATGTCAGTCTTATGCACACCCCTTCAAGTAAAGTGTTACCTCAGGTTTTTTTTTTTTTTTTTTTTATTATTATTTATTTTTCATTTAAGATTCAACTCATTTTTTTTTTAAAGTCAGTGTAATGTAATTTAAGTTGAAATGACTTCAACAGCCAAGTTGATTGTATTTAAATATGAGGCTTTTTTGTTTTAATTAAAAAAAAATCACTACTATTGGCTATTTGGTTGAAATTTTGTGTCACAATTGTGTCACTATAACTACTCAGGTCATCTGTCAGTAACAACATACGTTGAGATATTCCGCGACAGTGTGCCACTATCTACTCGCATATGCCAATGAAGACCAGATGTGCCAATATGCATAGTGACATGATGTGCCATCGGCCCCTGTGCATCCGATGCCATGTTAATTCCTTAATGTTAATATCACCTCTTTAGAAAGATATCTGATGGTAAAAAAAAATAAAAATACAAAGAAATATCTTTGTTTTATTTTTAGGTTTCAGCGCAGTCTCATCCCAAGACGTCATATAACTCATTGGGACGTCTTTTGACCATACGTCAACATCCGCCTTTTTAGGGTACCCTTAAACGTCGGAGATGACGTTATCGGTTCCTAACCCTACCCCAGAGCTAAACCTAACCGACGTTAAAGGTAAAGCGTCAATTGTATGACGGCCCGGGATCGTCATGTAACCGACATTTAAGGGTACCCTAAAAAGGCGGATGTTGACGTATGGTTAAAAGACGTCCCAAGACGTCAGTTGTAAGACTTCTTGGGATGAGACTGTGTTATAGGTTTAGATTATTTTAATGCTTGTTTTATCATTTTAGATAATCTTAAATCACCTTGAGGTTCTTTATAGGGCTCCACTGACTGTTGTTGTGCTGCCACGCTGTGGGCACTTTTAGTAATGAAAGCCAGACACACAGAACTCGTCCGCCTTACTACTGTATTTGCAGTGCAAAAAGTGTTTATGCTGTCAGTGTTTTTGTTGTATTCTTGGTTTTATCTACCTGTTCGGACATGAATAATGGTATCGTAACAGAAGTCCTGTTCCAGAGCAAAGTGACGGATATTTGTTACTTCTACAGTGTTTGGAGTGCTGCATGTTCTTATAATGATCAATAGGTGGCAGTGTTTACTCACAAATGAACAGGACGTACTGGGACAGAATGCCACCACATCCTGGATAGTTTTCTTTTCTCACTGCTGTATCTCACATGTCAAAACAAACCAAATAAGTTGATTAATATCAAACTTAAGAAACCACTTAGCTTTACACCCTTCGTAGCTGCAGAGAAACAAGTAGCCTGCTCAATTTTTTGTTCAACCATGTTCCCTTCAATAGTCAAACAATGCTTGTTAAAGTCTATCAAATATCTGATATATTCTTTAGGCTATGTGAAATAATCCCGTTTTGGGATTGGGAAGGTTAACATACTTTGGTTAGCCTTCTTAAAGTGTAATAAGTAGTGCATATCCCGTTTCAGTTACTTTATAAAAGTAATGTAACTGATTACATTTCCTACTTTTCTGCATTTCTAAAGAAGGTTTCCAACTGTTAATCATTTTCACATTTAAACCGATGATTAACCAGTAGACTAGTACTCACCTTCATAAATCATACTGTCAGACTTTTTAAAATCTGTCTTCACTTGAACCCTATGTCCATTACAATGGACATCACATCTCAGCCCCCCCCCCCTTTTTTTGCAGCAAAAAAACAAAAAACAAACAAAAAAAAAACTCCAGAGTTTCAAGAAGATCAGAGAAACTAAAAAATTCGACCCAAAAAAAAAAAAAAACGACAGTGGTACCCCTGTCGTTTTTTTTTTTCGAGTGAAAAATTTAATTTCTCCAATCTTCTCAAAACTCTGGATTCTGATAGAGGGCCATGAGACTTAAACCTGAGTGCAAAAATGGAGGCTCTAGACCCTTCCAGAGCTGAGATATCGAAACTCAAGAATTTGACCCCAAAAAAAACAACAGTGGTACCCCTTTCTTTTTTTCTTTTTTTTTGGGCGAAAAATTAAGTTTCTCCAATCTTCTCAAAACTCTGGATTCTGATAGAGGGCCATGAGACTTAGACCTAAGTGCAAAAATGGAGGCTCTAGACCCTTCCAGAGCTGAGATATCGAAACTCAAAAATTCGACCCGAAAAAAAAACCCGACAGTGGTACCTCTTTCGTTTTTTTTTTTTTCGGGCAAAAAATTAAGTTTCTCCAATCTTCTCAAAACTCTGGATTCTGATAAAGGGCCATGAGACTTAGACCTGAGTGCAAAAATGGAGGCTCTAAACCCTTCCAGAGCTGAGATATCGAAACTCAAAAATTCGACCCGAAAAAAAAAAAACGACAGTGGTACCCCTTTCGTTTTTTGTTTTTTTTCGAGCGAAAAAATTTCGTTTCTCCAATCTTCTCAAAACTCTGGATTCTGATAGAGGGCCATGAGACTTAGACCTAAGTGCAAAAATGGAGGCTCTAGACCATTCCAGAGCTGAGATATCGAAACTCAAAAATTCAACCCGAAAAAAAACCGACAGTGTTACCCCTTACGTTTTTTTTTTTTTTTTTTCAGGTGAAAAATTTAGTTTCTCCAATCTTCTCAAAACTCTGGATTCTGATAGAGGGCCATGAGACTTAGACCTGAGTGCAAAAATGGAGGCTCTAGACCCTTCCAGAGCTGATATATCGAAACTCAAAAATTCGACCCGAAAAAAAAAACGACAGTGTTACCCCTTAGGTTTTTTTTTTTTTTTTTTCGGGAGAAAATTAAGTTTCTCCAATCTTCTCAAAACTCTGGATTCTGATAGAGGGCCATGAGACATAGACCTGAGTGCAAAAATGGAGGCTCTAGACCCTTCCAGAGCTGAGATATCGAAACTCAAAAATTCGACCCGAAAAAAAAACGACAGTGGTACCCCTTTCGTTTTTTTTTTCGGGCGAAAAAATTAAGTTTCTCCAATCTTCTCAAAACTCTGGATTCTGATAGAGGGCCATGAGACATAGACCTGAGTGCAAAAATGGAGGCTCTAGACCCTTCCAGAGCTGAGATATCGAAACTCAAAAATTCGACCCGAAAAAAAAACAACAGTGGTACCCCTTTCGTTTTTTTTTTTTTCGGGCGAAAAATTAAGTTTCTCCAATCTTCTCAAAACTCTGGATTCTGATAGAGGGCCATGAGACATAGACCTGAGTGCAAAAATGGAGGCTCTAGACCCTTCCAGAGCTGAGATATCGAAACTCAAAAATTCGACCCGAAAAAAAAAACGACAGTGGTACCCCTTTCGTTTTTTTTTTTCGGGCGAAAAATTAAAATTCTCCAATCTTCTCAAAACTCTGGATTCTGATAGAGGGCCATGAGACATAGACCTGAGTGCAAAAATTGAGGCTCTAGACCCTTCCAGAGCTGAGATATCGAAACTCAAAAATTCGACCCGAAAAAAAAAACGACAGTGTTACCCCTTACGTTTTTTTTTTGGGCGAAAAATTAAGTTTCTCCAATCTTCTCAAAACTCTGGATTATGATAAAGGGCTATGAGACTCAGACCTGAGTGCAAAAATGGAGGCTCTAGCCCCTTCCAGAGCTGAGATATCGAAACTCAAAAATTCAACCCGAAAAAAAAAAACGACAGTGGTACCACTTTTTTTTTTTTTTGGGCGAAAATTAAGTTTCTCCAATCTTCTCAAAACTCTGGATTATGATAAAGGGCCATGAGACTTAGACCTGAGTGCAAAAATGGAGGCTCTAGCCCCTTCCAGAGCTGAGATATCGAAACT